GTGTGTGTGTGTGTGTGTGTGTGTGTGTGTGTGTGTGTGTGTGTGTGTTAATGCCAAAAAAATCAGTTAAAGTGTAAATCAGAGGTCCAGTGTGGTGGCTGATTGGATAAAGGCACTCGCCAGCATCAGTGACAACTTGGATTTGATCCCTGAGACTGAAATGGTGAGAGGAGAGAACAGACTCCCATAAATTATCCTGTGACCTCCAGACTTCTACTATGGTACATGTGTTCTGTCCTTCCCTCCATCCATCAAATGAATAGAGACCAGGGTGTCCTTGAACTGACAGAGAACAACCAGCCTCTTCTTCAGGAATGCAGGGATTAGAGGTGTGCACCAGCATGCCCAACCTCCTATTTCTATTTTTCCTGCCTCTGTGTTCTCTGGATTTCAATGTGTCAAACTGGCAGACTGATGAGGCCTAGGGGCTAGGAAGTTAGCATACTTTCTGAGAGTTTCCACTGATGATATACTCTAATTATTTGTGTATCAAACATATTCATTCTGGGTCAGGAAAGATGGCTCAGTAGTTTCTAACACTTGTTGCTCTTACAGAGATCTGGGCTTGATTTCAGTACCCACACATAGGTCATCTAAGGACTTCTGAAAATACAGATATCAACATTAAAATTCATAACATGAACAAAATTAGAGTTTTGAAGTAGCAGCAAAAATTGTTTTATGGTTAGGGTCACCACAACATGAGGAACTATATTAAATGGTCACAGCATAAGGAAGACTGAGAACTACTGCCTTAGAAGGTGCCTAGCTAGCATGGGTATACCCAGGAGTGAGGGTATGAAGGAGGTGAAGATATGTTCAAGGCTGGCTTCCTCTTCCCTGATGCTATTTGCAACTATGCAGACATAGAAACACAAAGCCATCACTCTCCTTACAAGCAAATATGTTACTTTTCAAATTAGTGGGAATTACCATCAAGCATGATTTTTTCCAGAGTATTCAGGCATTGCCTCTCCCAGAGAACTTAGGTTCATCACCGATTTCCTAAGAACTGCTTGGTCCTTCTTCTTCACTGAGGAGATATAGTTAGAATATAAAAATTGTTCCCGTATGTTCTGCAATGAAAAGACAGAGGATTAACTTTCCTAGTTTGATTATGAAATGAACTCTTTTGTTTTGGGGTGAACAATTTCAAAACTACTTTATTACTTACCAGGCACAGGGTATTGAAACATGAAAAGTAGAAACTATTACTTAAAAATGAAATATATTCTAATAAGCTTATCTATTTACAAATTACTATGATATCATCAAGAAGTAAAAAGTACTTTTGCTATCTAGATTGAGAAAATCATGAACTGAGAAATTTAGCCTTTCTCTGTGACTGAGACTAAACTGAACTCGCTATATTTTAAAATTTCTAAATCTTATATATGAGATGATTATTAATTTTATAGGCCCCCTTTCAACAGTATTTCTCTTCTGTGGTTGGAAGGCAAAATCCATATTATTTGCCATTTATAAATAAACACTCACTTAATTACTAGTGTCCTCCATTTCATAGTATCTGTGGAACTGCTTTATAGAAACCCATTTGACCACTGAGTAACATTCAAAAGTCATTAATATTCAACTTCTGATTCACACAACCCTTACTCTAGGGCTCCAGGTTACAAACAGTTTCCTGAACCCCCAGCAGCTCACGATGATGAAGTCAATTTATTATAAATAGATAAATGTCTAATTACTAACCTAAAATATTGTAATGTTTGAATGTGAAACAACGAATCAGAGTGTATGTTATTGTCAAATACAGAACAAATATCCAGAAATCAAAGGGTTACTATATGGTAATTGAATCTTAACATCTACAACTGTTGGCTAATTGGGGAAAAATACTTACTGTGTAACTGGAGAAAGAGTTTTCAATATCCTCCTAGTGGAACCAAATAGAAAACATGGTGTAATCTCTTCACAATGAAAACTTATTTGAACAGATTACAAATAGCTAAATTTCCACAATTACTTGCTAGCGTAAATGAAGAAGCAAAGAGGCAGACAGAGGGGATGCTCTTATATGTGATTCTGAAATAGTAATATCCAAAAGAAGAGAAAACCTTCCTGCAATTATGCTGAAGGAAAAGGCACCTGGGTGATGCCTGGACCACTGAAATAACTGGACCCTTAAAAATGTATTCAGGTGTATTACCACAGTCATTTTTAAAATGAGTCTAAGGTTTATTTATTTCTGCAAGCCATCCTTGGTCAAGCATCAGGCCCCTTCTATGATGTAAAATCCACACTCAATCTCCCACTCCCTGTGTTTCCAGCTCATTCTCTTATTTGGCCACTGCTACCTGCAAGGACTTACTGCTCACAGGAACTTATGAACAGGAGGGTTCACAAACACTAAATACCTTTCTCTGACCAAATTTCCATATAAAACTGTGATAGGTAGACTACTGCCGCACTGTAACAAAATTCATAAGAAAATGAATCTCACAAAGGAGAATGTTACCTTAATAGCGGAGGTACTGCCCTTGTCCTCTGTTATAGATGCAGGAACATCAGGGTGTTAGGAGAGCTGTTAGAATGAAAACATGCAGTGATGGGTGAGTTTGGTCCTTAGAGAAACTCTGTTGAAAGATTTGTTACCTGTACACTAAATAGTAAAATGCTGGAAATTTTACCTGGTATGCCACTGCCACGTGGTGATATATAGATTAATAGAATGCATTAAATCAAGATGTCAGAGTTAACCAATAGGTGGCTAGAGCTAACGGACCAATCAGTTTTTTAATTAATACAATTTCTGTGTGGTTCTTTTGGGGCTAGGCTAGCCAAGCTTCCGGGATGGACAAGCACCCTCCTTGCAACAGAAATAATGTAAAGAACAGTCACCCACATTACAACAATACTGACTCTTTCACCTCATCTCTTATGGGAAGAGGGTCTCTCAGATCCTCTACACTCCATGTACTCCTATTCACTTGATGTTGTGCTCTCCATAGGCAAGGTAGGTGAGAAAGACACTGTGGTGACAGCTGCTGAAAGCCCCAACTCCGTAGTGTTCCTCCCACTCTTAGAATCTTATCCAGACTCAGTGGATCAGTCAGTGCCGTCCACTGCAGAATGATGCTCTTTTCTCAGTCTTCCTCCTACTGTGGAAAATTGTTCTGGAAAGTATGTCTATTCACATGTAAACCAAGTATCGCCATATCCTACACAAACTAATAGAACCAAAGGAAAAAGTTGCAGGCAGCCTAGCCAGTAGGGTGAATGCTAGCCTAGAATGCTTATAATGGCAGTGATCAATCCCCAGCAGTGCCTACAGGACTCAACATCAATTCATTTTTTTAATACTTGAGCAAGCCTATTATTTATTATGTGAAGAATTTTGTCAAGATATATGCAGATTAAATGGCATAATTAAAGATAATCATAAAACCGTAGGTGATTTGCCTAATATGTCCAAATTGAGAAATTTTAGAAAGGAAGAAATACACAAAAACTTAGCTACATTTAGTCCTCAAAAATCTTAAATTGAGTACTATATTTTGGGGTTTATTTTAACATGATCACCTTATTAATATTGATGTATGTAATAATGTATAACATAAATACAATATATTTATTATTAAAAAATTCCATTTTCTAATAAGCAAACTTGCTGTCATATAACTATAGAGGACACATACTGTGGACTAGTTAGAGGTCTTTTTATTTATACAAAGATACTGTGTGTATCAACCCTCACATTAAATAAACATGTTTCAGATGATATAGTTTGAGAATGAAAATTTCTCAAAAAACCATTTCTTAAATAAATTTGAAGTCGAAAAACATTAAGAGACAAATGAATACAGAATGGAATTACACTTATATCTTATTTCCTTTGTACCTTTTTTGAAAGAACCAAGCTGTTATTGAAATTAGGGAAGTAGCAGCAAAGTATTCAGGATCACTCTTACCTCCACTGATCTGGAAGGAATCCTTCAGTATGGATTTCAGCTCTCCTGGTGGTCGTACTCCACTGTGGCATATTTTAAAAAGTAATATTTTAATATTCATGTAAAAACATTTAAAATGCTTTTCATTATTTGTTGTTTGATTTCCTAACATACATTAGAGATTTAACTGGTCTTTCAATGAGTTGATTAGTTTTGGTTACTCTTTCCATAAAAGTTTTTCTCACGTGAAAGAAAGAATATAGTCCACAAAAATTAGCCCATACAAATCATAGAAAGACACACACACACACACAGACACACACACACACACACACACAGACACACACACGCATGCAAACACATACACATACACACAGACACACACATATACACAAACACACACAGACACACAGACACACACGCACACACATGCAAACACTGGCATACACACAGACACACACACGCACACACACGTATGCATGCACGCGTGCACGCACGCACACACACACACACAAAGAAAGACACTGGCTCCTCCCCAGCACTTTTTTAACTGTAGTAACTGATGGTCACTCTTGTACTCAATGTAATTAGCACCCTGATTCCACTTGTCATGTTATTCTCTGCTCCTAGATCAATACAGAACCCCTCTCTGCATGTTACTTTGTGAGTTCTCACTGAATGTGATGTTATCTCCCACAACATTTGTTTATGAACCATAGAATAGATTCCAGATTCTGCTAGCACTCTTACAAATTACTGTGGCCTGGGATATGCTCAAGCTGTCCCTTAGTAGTCCATTCATGAGTGAATCTTGAAACCACAATGGGCCTGTTTCTATGCCAAATGAGCATTGCTATTAACTTAACAAGATAAAAACTTAACAAGCAACAATAAAACTCAGTGGATATTTTCAAGTTTTTAGCTGGAGACTGTTTAGAATTTCAAGTAGAAAGTACCATGGTTTTTGCAAGGTGTGTCTTTGAACAGTTGTAGTTACTGCAAATTATGAAACTGTCATTAGCTTTGATGATTTTTGGATCTTTTAACTCGGAGCAAATAAGCAAGTTACTAATGTGTATCCAATGTTTTATTGATACATGGCCCCACAAAAGATAACACAATTGCCCTCTATTATAGAAATAATCAATCAAGATGCGCACAGACATAGCTTGACATACAACCTTTAGTTGTCTGCCAAATCAGTGACTAAGATAAAATATCATTGACAGGAAGGGGCCTTAAACTCTATGTTCATGTCCACCCGATGGGGAAGACAAAGCCCCCTTTTATAGACAAAAAGAATAATCATGCTACAGTTTGGCTCTCTATGTTCAGATAATCATTGAGATTCAGAGACTTCATTGCTGTAGAAAACAGCTCACATGAATGGGCAAGTGATGGATGGAGCACTGTGGTAGGAGGAAGGCATGAGGTCTTCCACCATCTATGAAAGGATGCTACACTGGACAAAAGATCCTCTGCATGTAGAGATGGTATCAAAGGAGGAAAGTAATTTGTTGGCTTCTTGTAACACTGTGTGATAACTCAGATTGACACCAAATTCTGTCAGCTCTCAGAAGGTAAATGGGATGTAGTTCTAGTTCACAAGCTGATTTCAGAAAGGTTTTGAAAAGGCAAGGAGTGTCAGATGGACGTAGTGTGTGTGGTTAACAGCAGCAGGCTCATTTTTCAGAACAGAATTGTTCCTGGGGAAATGATGGTTGAGTATAAACCTCATGTCCATTATCTACAAATAATTTTTCAGTCTAAAAATACATTGATAATACTGTGGGGACTCTAACAGAAAGTAAAAATTGATTGTTTAAAATGATATCTATCTGAGAACACAAGCAGTACTTAGTTTGTTATCTTTGAATTTCCTTAGTATTAATGTATTCTTAAACCTTACCTGCAAGAAGGAATTGGGTCAGTACTGTAACATACTTCTAAAAAATCAAAAGGCATTTTATTACAATGCTAGAGAAATATAACTTAAAATGTGTAGACACATAGTATCAATTTTTGAGACCTATCTAGACTAATACTAATACTCTTTTGTTGGCAGTTTCTTAATGTAGGATTTATCCATTTTCTGTATATTTTAAATCAAAGAAGACTTAAATTTATCAAGGATAATAGCTAAAACTAAACCCCCACCCATACCAGATGTGATGACCCTAAATGACCTCTCTCAGACAGATGGAGAGCAGCATCCTTGCCAGTAGAAGCATCAATTGACTGTGTCACAAAATAGCTTCTGTGGTTCTTGTTTGACTTTGAGCTAAAACAGTTTCTAGATTTATCGTGGTGGTCACACCTTTAATCCTAGCACGTGGGAACAGATGTAAATGGCTCTATGGGAGCTCAAGGTCAGCCAGGTGTACAGAGGAGTTAAAGGGCAGGACCAAATCTACACACAGTAAAACCCTGTCTCCATAAAGCAAAATAAACATTAACAAAAAAAAGGAATTGAAACTTTTATTCATTTTATTTGTCTTTTTTAAAGTCAGGGAAACTTAGTGCCTTCCTAGCATTCCCCAGGACTCAGGAAGGCCATTTGAGCCACCAACTAGTTGGCTGGGATTGCGGCTCAGTGGTGAAGCCTCTGCTTACCATGCAGGAGCCATCAGTCAGTTCTCACCACCACAAATGCCAAGAACAGCAAACCTCATAATAAAGTGACACAAAGCTGTCTCCATTACAGTGATATCGACTCTCTTCATCTTACCTCTTGAGGAAAGAAGGTTTTGGATTCACTACCTAGTGAGGTTGCCACTGGAAAGTTAGGTATAAAAGACACTGTGATGACAGTTGCTGAATTTAGAAACTCTGTGGTGTTGTTGCCACTGCCACAGTCTCTCCAGACTCAATGGAGAAGCAGCTAATTCTTTGAAATACAGAATGATGTCGTTTTTTAAACTCTTTTTGTTCCAATTTTTCTTGTTGAATTCTGCTTTGCAGCATGGAAATGATGTACCCCCTTACCCTGTTCTATTAACAAAAACTAAAGGGAAAAGTACTAAAGGTAGAGAGAACGGGTAGGGTGCATGCCTAGAATGCTCCCAAAGCATTGTGTTCAACCTGTAGCACTTCAGAAAACCAAAAAACAAGAATGAAGAGAAAAAGAGAAGAAAGGGAGGAATGAAGAAAGGAAAGAAGGAAGGATTAGAGGAAGGAAGAAAGGTAGGAAGGAAGAAAAAGGAACAACATCTCAAGATTGATAAGACTTCCTAAAATCAATACATTCATTATGGAACAAAACAAAACTTTCACCCTAAAATGGGAGATTTCTAAAGAAAATTGTTATACAGTATGACGAATCTGTCCAAATGAGAAATTTCAGACATTTAAGAGGTCAGATGATTTTACTATGTCATAAGGTAAGAAATTAATTAATGAATGTGATTGATTTTTGAAGTTTGTGACATAATTACATTTTAGTGGCACTGAGATGTGTAACCATATGCAGTACAAAATACAAGGTATTTTTTATAAATACTCAAGGGCAATTTGTTTTTGTTTTTTTTTTTAGTAAATTTTATTAAATTATAAAAGTTTCCATTTCTGCCCCCCCTCCCAACACCCTCCCACTCCCCCCACTCCCCCCCTCCTTCCCCTCCGTCCCCCAGGGCAGTCAGGGTTTCCTGCCTCAAGGGCAATTTGTATTTCCAACAATCCTCTTTGCTGCAATGTGAATATGGAGGACACTTGTGGTGTAAAGATGTTTTCTTTTTTATTCAAAAGCAGTGCAGATATCAGCATTAAAATGAAATAAGCTATGTTTTGTCAATATATTTTCACAGTTGAAAGTGCTTAGAAATAATTTCTTAATTAATTCTGGCTTTCCAGAATATTTGAAAACAATAGAACTGCATTCATACTTGATTTCCTTAACTCCTTTTTGGGGATCTAAAATCCTTTCCTTATTTTCTTCAGGGAAGGTAGGAGCAGATGGAGCAATTCTTACCTTTGTTGAAGCTGGCGCGCCTTTCCTTTGTCTGTTCTGGCTCTTTCGCAGCTGCTCCGTCACTGTGGCATATGTTCAAAAGTGATCATCATTTAATTATTCACATAAAAACACTTAGCATATTTTCTACCTTCCTTATTTTTAATTCCCTAATTATCTTACATTAGATATTTATCTTTGCAAATACTTTTTTTTGAAACAGGATCTCATTACGCAGTCCAGTTGACTTTAAACCCACTATACACATCATGTTGGTCTTGAAATCAAAGAGCTCTCTCTGCCTCCTGCCTCCCAAGTCCTGGGATTAGAGGCATGGGAAAGAGGCCCAGCCAAATAACTCTAAATTCATTCTTCAACAACTGATGATGATTAATGACTTCTGTACTTTCCACCTTTCCTCATTGAGAAGAAAGAAAAAATAATTTACTTCATAATCAAACTACACACACACACACACACACACACACACACACACACACAAATGATCGTAGTGTGTTTCCCATATGATTTGCTCCAGTAACTGTGTATTTATATGCTCCTGGAGTCAGTGCTCCTGTTCCGTCCATCTGCCCACGTCCCTATGGCCCCACAGTCCTATCTCTGTCATGTACTTTGGAGGCCTTTCTTTAAGTGCTATGCGCTCAGTGGTCAGTATATGAAGAAGTTTTTTTTTGCCTCTAAGCACCCCTTTGCCTGCATTTCAGAAGCCATGACATCTGTGGGACCTTCAAATAGTTTTAACAGTTTATTCATGTATGAATATTGAAACCACAGCCTGGGTGTTTCTCTGTTCAGTAAGCCTTTCTATGTGATCCTGAGTCTTTATAACGCACAACCAGGTTCAAAACTCAAGGAAAGCAATGTGCCTTTGTCAGTTTTATTCTTCCCAGGTCACAGCTAAGACTGCTGGACTTCAGGGCCTATAGCAGTACACTCCAGACCAGCAGCTTTATTTTCCTAGTTTCTGCGTTGGCTGTCATCACTGTCTTGGAACTTGTCATAGGGACTTTTACCTGTGATGTGAACCTTGTCCAAAACACCACCACAGCTGTAGTGATCTCCAACAAATTATAGGAAAACCTTCAACCTTAGTCACTGTGTTCAATGTCTTTTTAGCATATAAAGATCCCCAGTCTTATTAGATCAAGGATCTAAACTTATTTTTTAATCTTCATATTTGATAAGTATTTCTGTACACATGTGTGTATGCATTTGTGTCTGTTGGTCCCAGTGCATGTTTTTAGGTCAGAGGACATCCTTGACTGTCAGTCCTTGCCTCCTAACTTAGTTTTGAGGCAGAGTTTCTTGTCATTAACAGCTGTTAAAGCCAGACTAACTAAAGTCTAACATTCTAGACAGTTTCCTGTCTCCATCTCCCATGTCCCTCTAGGTTCCCTGAGATTAAAGATGCACACAAGCACACGAGGCCCTTTCTGTGTTCTGAGGAGTTAAACTCTGAATTCATGGACTCGTGTGATAAGTACTTTATTCCTGAGACATGTTCCTAGTCATGATTTCCTAAGACTGTGCTATACCGTGTCAAAGTCACAAGCATACTTTCTCTGTATGCTTCAAAAGTGTCAGCTTTACAAATTTCTGTTTATCTTATATTAAAGGAGGAATAAATGACATTTAACTGGTTCTCATTAAAGGGAAACACAGGCCCTCTAACTAAATTACAAGTCTAATTGAATGTGCTCTTCACAAAAAGACTTAGTTCCATAATTAACAGCAATATGTTCATAAAACTTCTTTCATTTAGGCACAAATTTTTCTTTTAAAAATTGTGTGTTGTAGGGCCAGATAAATGGCCCAGAATTTGAAAACCTGGAACTCAGGAAAAAGTCAGACACTGTGTAATGTATCTACAATCCCAGCACTTTTATAGTACATGGGAGGTGGAGATAGTAAAATCCCAAAGAGGTTTCCCAGCCTGCTCGCCTGGAGTAAGTGGCCTAGTGCCAAATAAAAGTAGAAAATTTTCCTCAAATAAGATGGAAGGCAAAGCCATCACACAGGGTTGTGCTGTGTCTTGGATGGGATATCATGGGGTGCATGTCCTCTGACACAAAAGCAAGCATGTGAAGGTGAGGGATGCTAGACCATGTTTAGAATATATGGTATGTACAAAGTGTATTTTCAATAAAAAATACACACGCAGGCTTTACTTTTTAATCCATCTGACTTTAAATTTACATGAATGGACAAAAAGAAAGGAATCATTTGCTTTTGAAAGCTGAACTCATCTTGAATACCAAGTGCCCTATGTAGAGCTGCTCTTGTTGTGAAGAAACTCCATGACCCAAATCAACTTGGGGACAAAGGATTCATTTGGCTTATGTGTCCACATCATAGTCCATTATTAATGGACATCAGTACAGGAAACCAAAGAGGGAAGGAACCTGGAAGCATGGGCTGATACAGAGGCCACTGAAGGAAGCTGCTTCCTGGCTTGATCACTCTATTTTCTTACAGAACTCAGGACCAGAAGCCCTGGAAGGCACCACCCACTACGTACTGGGTCCCCATGTATCAATCACTAATTAAGAAAATGCCTTACAACTAGATCTTATGGAGGAGGCATTTTCTCAATGGAGTCTTAGTTCTTTGTACTCATCATGAACAACTGTCCCTAACCAGATTAACTGCTTCAGGACTTTGGGTGCACAGATTCACATCTGACCAACACAGTGTCAAGACATTTCAGACAGAACAAGAAAAAATATAATCTGGTAACATCATTTCATTGTCATGATGGACACCCTAATGTATCTGATTGTTCAGAAATCACTTAAAGCAGAGTGAGTGATCAAAGAGACAATATGTTTTTTTAAAAACTGCTTATGTTTAACATAATATATTGAAAAAATAGATAAGAAACAGAACAAAAATAGTAAAATTATAAATTTCATTGTTGAAAATAAAGCTGACACTTTTCAAAGTAAACAATATTAATGTGAAGTTGACTTAACTTGTAGAAAATTGCCAATCAATCAGATTAGAAATGACAAACTGTTGTTTTTAAAAGGGAAGCTGAGCCTGGTGAAACTGTTCTTTTGTTTATCTTAGAACAGTCTCTTTTTCAGCTCACACTCCCTGTATGCTAGGCTTTCTCAATATGAGCTTCTGAATTGAAGCCATATTCCCTCTACCATTTTAATATTCATTACTTAAGCAATGTCACCCTCAAGAACAGCACTAAGATTGTAAAAAAGAGACAGCACTTATTTAGCTTAAGCTCTGAATGTTCATACTCACCATTCTGTATTAAAAACTCTTCCATCTCATGTTTGTTTTCATATAAGGCTAGTTTATATGGTGTCAACTCATACTGTAAAGAAAAAAATTTCATTTTACAAATTGAAATGCTTCATTTTACATGAGCTCTTATTTATTTATTAAAAATTTCCACCTCCTCCCCACCCCACTTTTCCCTTCCCTTACCCTCCTCCCCCTCCCTCACTAGTCCTAAGAGCAGTCAGGGTTCCCTGCCCCGTGGGAAGTCCAAGGTCCTCCCCCCTCCATCCAGGTCTATAAAGGTGAGCATCCAAACAAACCAGGCTCCCACAGAGCCAGCACATGCAGTAGAATAAAAACCCAGTGCCATTGTCTTTGACTTCTCAGTCAGCCTTCATTGCCAGCCATGTTCAGAGTGTCCATTTTGATCACATGCTCCATCATTCCCAGTCTAGCTGGCCTTGGTGAGCTCCCATTAGATCAGTCCCACCGTCTCAGTGGGTGAACGCACCCCTCATGGTCCAGACTTCCTTGCTCATGTTTCCCTCCTTCTGCTCCTCATTTTGACCTTGGGAACTCAGTCCAGTGCTCCAATGTGGGTCTCGTCTCTATCTCCATCCATTGCCAGATGAAGGTTCTATGGTGATATGCAAGATATTCATCAGTGTGGCTATAGGACAAGGCCAGTTCAGGCCTTCTCTCCTCTGCTGCCCAAGAAACATTCTGGGGACCTCACCTTGGACCTGGGAACCCCTCTAGAGTCAAGACTCTTGCAAACCCTAAAATGGCTCCCTTAATTAAGATATCTTCTTCCCTGCTCCCATATTCACCCTTCCTCCATCCCACCCATCCCATTCCCCCAAGCTCTCCCCAATCCTCCCCTTCTCCCTTCTCTCTACCCATCTCACCTTACATCCACCCCCCATTCCCATGCACCCAACTTTTGCCTGGCAATCTTGTCTACTTCTAATATCCAGGAGGATAACTATATGATTTTCTTTGGGTTCACCTTCTTATTTAGCTTCTCTAGGATCACGAATTATAGGCCCAAAGACCTTTAATTATGGTAGAATCCACTTACGAGTGAGTACATACCATATTCCTCTTTTTGGGTCTGGCTTACCTCACTCAGTAAAGTGTTTTCTATTTCCATCCATTTGCATGCAAAATTCAAGATATCATTGTTTTTTACCACTGAGTAGTACTCTAATGTGTATATGTTCCACATCTTCTTTAGCCAATCTTCTATTGAGGGACACCTAGGTTGTTTCCATGTTCTGGCTATTACAAATAGTGCTGCTATGAACATAATTGAAAAAATGCTTTTGTAGTATGATAGGACATCTCTTGGGTATATTCCCAAGAGTGGGATTGCTGGGTCCTGAGGGAGGTTGACTCCCAGTTTCCTGAGAAACCGCCACATTGATTTCCACAGTGGCTGCACAAGTTTGCATTCCCACCAACTATGGATGAGTGTTCCCCTTACTCCATATCCTCTCCAGCATAGGCTATCATTGATGTTTTTGAGTTTAGCTATTCTGACAGGTGTAAGATGGTATCTCACCAGCTTCCATCCAGAGGGCCATTGGAGGGGTGAGTTTGCTTCGGGACCGCGGCAGGGGCCCTGCGAGGAGGAGCTCAGACTTTCCCCAACCCCATAGACTCCCAGGTCACCCTGCTCTGATGGCTCCACCCTGCTAGCTCCCCTGCCAGCCATAACAGCTTCCATCCAGAGGGCCATCGGAGGGGTGAGTTTGCATCGGGACCACGGCAGGGGCCCTGCGAGGAGGAGCTCGGACTTTCCCTGACCCCATAGACTCCCAGGTCACCCTACACTGCTGGCTCCACCCTGCTAGCTCCCCCGCCAGCCATCCCAGCTTCCATCCAGAGGGCCATCGAAGGGGTGAGTTTGCTTCAGGACCGCGGCAGGGGCCCGGCGAGGAGGAGCTCGGATTTTCCCCGACCCCATAGACTCCCAGGTCACCCTGCACTGCTGGCTCCACCCTGCTTGCTAAGCTCCCCCCGCCAGCCATCCCAGCTTCCATCCATAGGGCCATCGGAGGGGCCCGGCGAGGAGGAGCTCAGACTTTCCCCGACCCCATAGACTCCCAGGTCACCCTGCAGTGCTGGTTTCACCCTGCTAAGCTCTCCCGCCTGCCATCCCAGCTTCCATCCAGGTACAAATTCCTATATTTCTCCCTTCCCACTGGGGCCATAAAATTTCCCCAGCTCAGCTGCCTTGCACGCTGGGCCTGCTCTGTAGGCACATCCCGGAAAGAGGAAGTGCCTGTGTTTCAATAGCCTGCCTGAGGAAAGGTTAGCATTCTATCAGTGAATTCCCTGCCCAACAAGGGAACCTGACCCACTACCAGAAGTTCCAATAGAGAGCATTTGAACGAAGAGATGGGCAGACGCCAAAGCAAGACCTCCTCCAACAATCTGAAAAACAACATGAAAACACCAGATCCCAATGACCCTACAACAGAAGGACTTGAACACTCTAACCCAGAAGAAGTAGAAAAAAGTGCCATGATGAAAGCAATAGAGTCCCTTAAACAGGATATGAATAACTCCCTTAAAGAATTGGATGAGAAGTATAACAAAAAATTTGTAGAAATGAGTATAGAAATGGATGAGAAATATAACAAAAAGTTTGAAGAAATAAGTAAATCCGTGAATGATACCCTGAGAAACCAAGAAAAAACAATCAAACAAGTAAAGGAAACAGTCTAAGAATTGAAAACTGAAATGGAGGCAATGAAGAAAACACAAAACGAGAACCGGCTGGATATGGAAAACCTAGGTAAACGAACGGAGACTACAGAATCAAGCATAACCAATAGAATACAAGAGATAGAAGAACGAATCTCAGATTCTGAAGATACCATAGAGAAAATAAATGCTCTGGTCAAAGAAAATGGCAAATCCAACAAATTCTCTTCACAAAACATTCAGGAAATCAGGGACACAATAAAAAAACCAAATCTAAGAATAATAGGGATTGAAGAAGGAGAAGAACTGCAGATCAAAGGCCCAGAAAATATATTTAACAAAATTATAGAAGAAAACTTTCCCATCCTAAAGAACGATATTCCTATGAAGGTTCAAGAAGCATACAGAACGCTGAATAGACTGGATAAAAAAAAAGTCCCCTCGCCATATAATAATCAAAAAACAAAACATTCAGATTAAAGAAAGAATATTAAGAGCTGCAAAGGAAAAAGGTCAAGTGACTTATAAAGGTAAACCTATCAGGCTTACACCAGACTTCTCTATGGAAACCATGAAAGCCAGAAGATCCTGGATAGAGGTACTGCAGAAACTAAGAGACCATGGATGCAAACCCAGACTACTATACCCAGCCAAGCTATCATTCACTATCAACGGAGAAAACAAAATATTCCAGGATAAAAATAAATTTAAACAATTCGTAGCCACAAATCCCGCCTTACAGAAAGTAATAGAAGGAAAATCGCAACCCAAGGAATCCAACATTGCCATCACTGCCTACAATAACCCAGACATCTAGCAACCCTTCACAACCACAACTCAAAGAAGAGAAACACACAAACTCTACTACACACACACACACACAAAAAAAAATGAACGGAATTAACAACCACTGGTCATTAATATCACTTAACATTAATGGACTCAACTCACCTATAAAAAGGCACAGACTTAAAGACTGGATAAGAAAACAGGATCCAACATTCTGCTGTTTACAAGAAACACACCTCAACCACAAAGATAGACATCTATTCAGAGTAAAGGGTTGGGAAAAGGTTTTCCAAGCAAATGGACCTAAGAAACAAGCTCGTGTGGCCATTCTAATATCTAACAAAATTGACTTCAAACTAAAATCAATCAGAAGAGATGGAGATGGACATTTCATACTCATAACAGGAACAATTAATCAGGAGGAAGTCTCAATCCTGAATATCTACGCCCCTAATATAAAAGCACCCACTTATGTAAAAGAAAAACTTTTAGAACTCAAGGCAGTCATCAAACCACACACACGAATAGTAGGAGACTTCAACACACCTCTCTCACCAATGGACAGGTCAATCAAACAGAAACCTAGCAGAGAAATAAGATAATTGCTAGAGGTAATGAATCAAATGGACTTAACAGATATCTATAGAACATTCTACCCAAAAAGGAAAGAATATACCATCTTCTCTGCAGCTCATGGAACCTTCTCGAAAATTGACCACATACTCGGTAACAAAGCAAACTTAAACAGATACAAAAAAATATTAGTAATCACCTGTGTCTTGTCGGATCACCACGGAATAAAGTTAGAATTCAATAACAATTCGAATACCAGAAAGCCTACAAACGCGTGGAAGTTGAACAGTCAACTACTGAATCATCCCTGGGTCAAGGAAGAAATAAAGAAAGAAATTAAAGTCTTCCTTGAATTTAATGAAAATAAAGACACAACATACTCAAACCTATGGGACACAATGAAAGCAGTTCTAAGAGGAAAGTTCATAGCACTAAGTGCCCAATTAAAGAAAACGGAGAAAGCATATATTGGAGACTTAACAGCACACCTAAAAGCTCTGGAAAAAAAAGAAGCAGACTCTCCCAGGAGGAGTAGAAGATTGGAAATAATCAAACTGAGGGCTGAAATCAACAAAATAGAAACATAGAAAACAATCCAAAAAATCAATGAAACAAAAAGTTGGTTCTTGGAGAAAATCAACAAGATTGACAAACCCCTAGCCAAACTAATCAAACGGCAGAGAGAGAACACTCAAATTAATAAGATCAGAAATGAAAAGGGGGACATAACAACAGACACAGTGGAAATTCAGAGAATCATTAGATCTTACTACGAGAGTTTATATGCCACAAAGTTGGAAAATGTACGAGAAATGGATTGGTTTTTAGATAAATACCATTTACCAAAGTTAAATCAAGACCAAGTGAACAATCTAAATAGACCTGTTAGTCGCAAAGAATTAGAAGCTGTTATCAAAAACCTCCCCACCAAAAAAAGCCAAGGACCAGATGGTTTCAATGCAGAATTCTACCAGAACTTCCAGGAAGAGCTAATACCTATACTCCTTAATGTATTTCACAATATAGAAACAGAAGAATCGTTGCCAAACTCTCTTTATGATGCTACGGTTACCCTGATACCAAAACCACACAAAGACACAACCAAGAAAGAGAATTACAGACCAATCTCACTCATGAACATTGACGCTAAAATACTCAATAAAATACTGGCAAACCGAATCCAAGAATACATTAGAAAAATCATCCATTATGATCAAGTGGGCTTCATCCCAGAGATGCAGGGCTGGTTCAACATACGCAAATCTATCAATGTAATCCATTATATAAATAAACTGAAAGAAAAAAACCATATGATCATTTCATTGGATGCTGAAAAAGCATTTGACAAAATTCAACACCCCTTTATGATAAAGGTGTTGGAGAGATTGGGTATATGAGAATCATACCTAAATATAATAAAAGCAATATATAGTAAGCCGACAGCTAACATCAAATTGAACGGAGAGAAACTCAAAGCCATTCCACTAAAATCAGGAGCACGACAAGGCTGTCCACTCTCTCCATACCTCTTCAATATAGTGCTTGAAGTTCTAGCAATAGCAATAAGACAACATAAGGAGATCAAGGGGATTCGAATTGGAAAGGATGAAGTTAAACTTTCGTTATTTGCAGACGATATGATAGTGTACATAAGCGACCCCAAAAACTCTACCAAAGAACTTCTACAATTGATAAACACCTTTAGTAATGTGGCAGGATACAAGATCAACTCCAAAAAATCGGTTGCCCTCCTATACACAAAGGATAAAGAAGCAGAGAGGGAAATCAGAGAAACATCACCTTTCATGATAGCCACAAATAGCATAAAATATCTTGGGGTAACTCTAACCAAGGAAGTGAAAGACCTATTTGACAAGAACTTTAAGTCCTTGAAGAAAGAAATTGAGGAGGATACCAGTAAATGGAAAGACCTCCCCTGCTCTTGGATTGGAAGAATCAACATAGTAAAAATGGCAATTCTACCAAAAGCAATCTATAGATTCAATGCAATTCTCATCAAAATTCCATCAAACTTCTTCACAGACCTTGAGAGAACAATAATCAAGTTTATATGGAAAAACAAAAAAGCCAGGATAGCCAAAAAAATCTTATACAATAAAGGAACTTCTGGAGGCATTACCCTCCCTGACTTCAAACTCTATTACAGAGCAACATTATTGAAAACAGCTTGGTATTGGCATAACAACAGAGAAGTCGACCTATGGAATCGAATAGAAGACCCGGGTATTAACCCACAAACTTATGAACACCTGATATTTGACAAGGGAGCTAAAGGTATACAATGGAAGAAGGAAAGCATCTTTAACAAATGGTGCTGGCATAACTGGATGTCAACCTGTAGAAGAATGAAAATAGATCCATATCTATCACCATGCACAAAACTCAGGTCCAAATGGATTAAAGACATCAACATTAATCTGACCACTTTGAACCTGATAGAAGAGAAAGTGGGAAGTAGTCTACAAGATATAGGCACAGGAGACCAGTTCCTAAGCAGAACCCCAGGAGCGCAGACAATAAGAGAAGCAATGAATAAATGGGACCTTGAAACTGAGAAGCTTCTGTAATGCAAAGGACACTGTCAGACCAAAAGGCTACCTTCTGACTGGGAGAAGATCTTCACAAACCCCTCATCAGACAAAGGTCTGATCTCCAAAATATACAAACAACTCAAGAAACTAGACACTAAAACTCTAATTAACCCAATTAAAAAATGGGGTACTGAACTGAACAGAGAATTCACAACAGATGAATTCCGAATGGCCAAAATGCAGTTAAGGTCATGCTCAACCTCCTTAGCGATCAGGGAAATGCAAATCAAAACCACTTTGAGATATCATCTTACACCTGTCAGATTAGCCAAACTCAAAAACACCAATGAGAGCCTATGCTGGAGAGGATGTGGAATGAGGGGAACACTCATCCATTGTTGGTGGGAATGCAAACTTGTGCAGCCACTGTGGAAATCAATGTGGCGGTTTCTCAGGAAACTGGGAGTCAACCTCCCTCAGGGCCCAGCAATTCCACTCTTGGGAATATACCCAAGAGATGCCCTATCATACTAAAAAAGCATTTGTCAACTATGTTCATAGCAGCACTATTTGTAATAGCCAGAACATGGAAACAACCTAGGTGTCCCTCAATAGAAGAATGGTTAATAAAGGTGTGGAACATACACACATTAGAGTACTACTCAGTGGTAAAAAACAATGACATCTTGAATTTTGCATGCAAATGGATGGATATAGAAAATGCTTTACTGAGTGAGGTAAGCCAGACCCAAAAAGAGGAATATGGTATGTATTCACTCATATGTGGATTTTAACCATAATTAAAGGTCTTTGAGCCTATTATTCGTGATCCTAGAGAAGCTAAAAAAGAAGGTGAATCTGATGAAAATCATGTAGCTCTCTGCCTGGAGATTGGAAATAGACAAGAGTCCCTTGTAAGGTAACCTCGGGTGCATGGGGGGGGTGGGAGGGTTGTTGGAAGGGGAGAGGGTTAGAGAGAAGGGAGTAAGGGAGGAATGGGGATAACAGGAGGGGCTTAGGGAGCCCTACTCTCTTGAATACCGTCAATAAAGTTCACTGCATCCCCTCTTCAAAAAAAAAAAAACTTCAAGTCTCTCTTACTAGGCGATTCTTCATTGTAAGGTAGACAAGTAGAACTAGCCATCAGAGAGGGGGCCATGGCTAGCACAAGATCCTGCCAAGGGAGGACAAGAGGAGAATAAATATGTGCACATCTACTCTACCACTGGCTGGACCCAATGAGAAGGCAGCAAAGTACACACGAATGGAGTCTCAGGATCGCCTCTGGGCACAGAGAGAGAAGAAGAAGAGAAAATGAAGTCAAAGGCCATGCAAGAAACATGAACACCAAAGGTTGGGGGACCCATCCTTGCCCAGAAGGTTCTCACCCAGAAATCAGGGACTCCCTGAGTGATCCCAGTGTGAACTTGTATCCCCGCTAGCTGGGAGGCCTTCAGCAGCTAAACTGACATGGCTGAGCTTTAGATTCTCATCTGGAAACACAAATGACAGCCTTTGGTCATTTCAAGGACTTCACTCATCAAACACTAAGAATGCAAAGCAAGATAGACATGTGTTTACTTTCTTCCCGTGACTTTTTCTCTTCCAGGCAGGAAGAGTCACTCTGAATGTGGGTGACAACATCCTGTTTAAGGGGGAAAGGAGGAAAGGAGGAAGCCAGATAAGAACCAGTATTTGCCTATTTTTGATTCTTGATTTACGTAGATGTTAAGTAGCCTCATGCTCTAACTAAAACTGATGAAAGTCAATCCTGCTGCTGTGCTTTTCCCTCCTTGCCCTCCTCTCTCTCTCTCTCTCTCTCTCTCTCTCTCTCTCTCTCTCTCTCTC